CCCCCGTCTCCCCACTCCCAACCCCAGGCAGGCTCCATTGCGTCCCAACCCCGGCCCTGAGCGGGATTCCTGCCCCAACGGGGCTCATTGGTCTCCACTCCCCCCATGTAGGGCGCTCCGAGATGGAGAACTCTTTGAGATTGTCATTCAGAAGATGGTGGATCGCTGGTCTGGCTCTATAGAGGCAGGTAAGAACCAGGGGCAGGGGGGCTATACAGGGAGTTCCTGGGTCTCCCCAACCAGAGGCAGCTGGTTACACTGGGACCCCTCACCTGGTGCCAAGGTGGAAAGGTAGTTGAAGCAGCGTCAGAGGTGGCTGCATCTCGGCACTGGCTAAATCGTATTGAGTCCTGGTAAAACACTAGCTCAGAGCAAGTGGGGTCCCATGGGGGCTGCCCTGCGTTCGGACTTTGATACTTTCACAACTCACCTGGCTAATGGAGTGATGAGAGTATTTATTGAATTTGCAGCTGCCCCCAAGCCGAAGGGGTCACCGGCACTTTGGGGGAGTGGTCAGAATTCAAATCCACAGCAACATATTACTGTGAACTCACCAGGCTGAGTTCACTGAAGACCAGTTCTTCTTCAGAAGGAAAAACCAACCCTGGCTAAGCAGCCAGGGGCTTGTGGGAGCAAAAAGGGTCAGGGGATACAGAACATCATGAATCGAATCCCAGACGGTAGAGCCTGGCAAACAGACCTGGGCGGGGGTATTACATAACAGGTGGGATGGCTGGTCTAGGGTCAGTGTGAGGTGGGGAGTTCTACCCAGGTTCCTTCCCACCCCACACCACTGGGACTCTCTCTTGCAGGGGTCACAGCCATCCGGCCTGAAGACCTGGAATTCCCCAACACCATGACAGACATCGACTATGACACCTGGATGCTCAGGTGAGCGAGAGGGTTGTAGGGAGGATGGGGAGGCCTTGGCTGCCTGTCTCATCCCCTCATCCACAGGAGAGGCAGAGTTGTGTCTTGGGGCTGGAGGTGGGAGGCAGCACTGTGCCTCAGGGTCTGGGGACTTGGGATACAGTGGGAGGTAGGAGGGGCATGGCTTGAGTTTCCTGGTAGAGAGAGTCTGACTCCCAGGGGCTCTCTCCCCCACCCCCCAGTGGCACAGCCATCATGCAGGACGGCAATACCATGCGCAACAACTATGGCTGTGACCTGGACTCGCTGACCACAGGCTCCCGCATTGGCATGATGCGCACAGCCAAGGGGGACCTTCACTACTTCATTAACGGCGTGGACCAGGGCGTGGCCTGCTCTGGCCTGCCCTCTGGCAAGGGTGAGTCTTCTCCTCCTGCCCCAGCACTGGTCCCTTTGGGCCAATCCAACCCCAGTGTATTCTCCACCTCACCCCTGAAGGGGCCCATTGGTCTGTGGGCAGGGAGGGCTGGATGGACCCCTTTCAGTGATCCAGTGAGAGAATATGTGGGCTAGATAGAGCCATAGGTCTGAGCAAGGAGGGGGGCTGGGATGGAAGGACTCATTGTGCTGATTGTAGGGAGATAAGAGCCTAGCTGGGTGCTGTGCTGGCTGCTACCTAGTTAACCCTTTCTCCTTCCTCTCCCATCCCCGTGGCCTCGCACAGAGGTGTATGCCGTGGTGGATCTCTATGGTCAGTGCGTCCAGGTGTCCATCACCAGCGCCACAGGCCCCATGGACAACAGCCTGTCGACCAGCAACATCACCGAGAAATCCTTCCCCATCCACTCACCAGGTGAAACCCCCTCCCCCCACCACCATGCTCCTTACCCCACAGCATCCCCTGAGCACAGCCCAGGGGGTAGTCCTGCCCGCCATGGGAGAGCACCCCCTGCTGAGCCCCACTTCCCACGACACAACATCCCCTAACTCAAGAGGGGGGACCTCAGGCCCAGGGGCTGGATGCAGCTCCCGGCTTGCCTGGATCCAGCCCCTGAGGCTCAGGGCCTCCCCCAGCATTGGGGAACCTGCACTGGCACTCAGCTCCCCTGCTGCCTCACCGTTGGGCTCGAGCACACAAAATCTACTAGCCTGGGCCCCCCAAGCTCTGGTGTGCAAGGGGAATGTGGAGAGTGTCTTTCTCCTTCTTAGTCGGGGTCAAGTCAGTGAGGGTTTGGGGTTTTGGTTTTTTCTGCTTCTCACTTGTGTGCAGCCCCCGACTGATTTTTTTTTTTTTTTTCTGTGGGTCAGCAGCCCCCGACCCACCCTGCCCTAACTATAGATGGCCTCATCTCTCCTCCTCCTCCTCCTTCCCTCTACCCATCCCTCTCCAGTGCCAGGCGTGGCTCACCGCTTCCACAACAGCTGTGGGAAGAACGTGGCCTTCCAGGACGATGGTTGTCGGGCTGTGCGCCTGGCGGGCTACTGCCATGGCATCATCTTCAGCATGAAGGAGCTGAAGACTGATGAGGTCTTTGAGGTGAGTCCCTCCTGCATGGGCTGGGGGCAGGACTATCAATAAGAATGTAACACCAGCCATGCTGGGTCAGACCAAAGGTCCATCTAGCCCAGGATCCTGTCTTCCAACTCTGAACAATGCCAGGTTGTTCCAAAGACAAGGAATCAAGTGATCCAGCCCCTGTTGCCAATTTCCAGCTTCTGAGAAATAGAGGCTGGGACACCATCCCTGCCTGTCTTGGCTAATAGTAATTGATGGACATATCCTCTGGCAAGGAGTTCCACAGGTTGCCTGAGTGTTGTATGAAGAAATACTTCCGTTTGTTGGTTTTAAACCTGTTACCTATCAATTTCACTTGGTCATCCCTAATTCTTCTGTAGTGTGAAGGAGTAAATAAGTTTTCCTTATTTATGTTCTCCACACCAGTCGTGATATTCTAGACCTTAGTCACATCCTTCCCTTAGTCAACTCTTTTCCAAGCTGTAAAGTTTTACTAATCTCTCCTCCATTCGGCAGCCATTCCAGACCCTCTCATCCTGTTTGTTGCTTTTTTCTGAGGGTTTTCCAATGCTAAGATACTTTTTTTTTGAGATGAGGCCACCACATCTGTATGCAGTATTCAAGATGTGGGTGTGTGTCTTATTCATTATCCTTTTCTTTACCATTTCCAATTTTTTGTTTGCTTTTCTCACTGCTGCTGCACATTGAGTAGATGGAGCCCATTCTCTGAATGATGGCTGCCCCGCCACCAGGCCGAAGTGGCTGGTACACCCGGTACCTTCCCCCTGGGGACAGTAGGGGGCGCTCTGTAGTCCAGCCTTAATCTGGTGCAGGGGTGGCACTCATGTTCACCCTCTCCCATTACTTGGTGACCTCTGACCCATGCTTATGCCCCCTCCCCACCACATAGGTGAAAATCGAGGAGCTGGATGAGAAGTGGTCAGGCTCCTTCTGCTTGGGGCTGACCACGCTGTTGCCCTCTGAGGTGCCCTATGCGGCCACGGGGCTGCCGGCCTCCCTGCTGGAGCTGCAGTCTAAGGCCACATGGGTGGTGACTGGCTCTGAGGTGCGGCGCAATGGCCTCCTGCAAAAGCAGAACTACGGCTGCTCTCTGGAGAGGCTTGGGGTGAGTCATGCCAGAGGCCTGGCGGAGTGGGCAGGGGGAGTTGGATGGACAAAGGATGTGGGGCTGGAGGCCCATGGGTGGACCTGTCACTAACCCAGGCACTCCTAATGGTAGGTGGGAAACCGTGTCGGGGTGAAGCACTGTGTGGACGACACCATGCACATCCTGGTTGATGGCGAGGACATGGGGCCTGCTGCTACCGGCGTGGCCAAGGTAATGCCCACAGCCCCTTGCTTGGGCCTCATCCCTGCAGCTGCGTTGGGGGGGCAGAGCCCACATGAGACAAGGATATAGGCAGAGCCTTGCCCCTTCCTGAGCCTCAAAGGTAGCTCCGTGGGAGGGTGTTTGTGACGTCATGGGTGCAGGGCAGCTTCTTCCTGTCTCAGAGAGGTTGTGATGTGGTGTCATGGGAGGATAGGGCCTGCCTCTTCCTGTCTGAGGGACGCATGCTGTGATGTCACAGGAAGCCACTGTGCCATAGGAGACAGCTCCAGGGGCATTTCCCATGGCTTCACTGGGACAGGACATCTGAGAAACCTATTGGGGGACCAGAACTAGCGCCGTGATCAAAATGAGGGATTTCTCCTAGCCCGAGTGCAGAGAAGGGCTGGCAGTGATGAAGATGGGCTGGGTTGGCCAAGAGGGGAAGGGGTTGCTCCCCACAAATACTGGGGCGGGGGTCAAGCTGTTCAAGTGGGGCGGGGGGGAATCCAACCCAAAACTGAACAGAGAGAAACTTGAGGGAGGTTGCAAGTGAGGCCCTACTAATCAGAGAGAAGGTTGGAACCCAGCCACCTGTTCCCCCCCAGAGCTAGGGAGAAAACCCAGGAGTGCTGGGTCCCAGCCCTCCTTCCCACTCTGACCCACCAGGCGCCCCCACCCTCCGTCCCGTTCTATGTCCTCAGAACGTCTACGTGGTGCTGGATTTGTATGGCCGCGTCACTGCCGTCTCCATTGTCAGCTCCACGGTGCTGGAGGAGTCAGATGGCACCAAGCCACCCTCAGTCACCTCCGAGACATGCAGTGAGGAAGAAGAGGAGGAAGAGCCCGCACCTGTGAGTGCTGGAGGATGGGAAATGTTTTCCTTTGGTGGGTGTCAGCTCCCATCTGGCCCCAGTGTGGGGGCTGCCTGGAGCGGCAGGGAAGAGAATGAGGTACATGGACTGTCTCCTCTAGGGGTGGGGGTGTTGGAGAATGACTCCTCTTCCCTCTGCTACAGTGTGAGCATGAGGCCCCCGTGCCGCTGGCTGCCATGGAGTTCCTGGAGAACCACGGCAAGAACATCCTTCTATCCAATAGCAACCTGACGGCCACCCGTGTGGCCAGTTACAACCAGGGCATCGTGGTCATCGCTCAGCCCTTGCCCCCAGGCCAGCTCTTCCAGGTAGGCTCCTTCCTCTTGGGGGAGTATGTGATATTGTGTGGTGGAAAGGCATAGTGTCTCCTACCTCATGTTTTGGGAAGATGTGATGTTGTGAGCTGGCAGGAAGCACAGTGGCCCCCCCTTCCTCATAACATCACATCCCCACAAATCAGGGTGGTGGGCAAAAGGGCCTGCTGCTTCTTGTCAGGGAAGGATATGATCTAATTTGGGGGAGGGCAGAGGACTCTTCTGCTGTTGTGGTAGGCGCCGCTGCTGTCAGGCTAGGGATAGATGTCATAGCAGTATAAATGTCTAACCCTTGTAACTGTTGTCAGGGTTGGTATCAGTCACTGCCCTGTGGGAGGTGGGTGTTAGTGGTGTCAGACATTATTTCCAAGCTTTCCCACTTGTCTTCCTCCCCAGGTTCAGATCAACTTCCTGAACCCCCAGTGGACATCGTCTCTGTCCCTGGGCGTCATCGGCACCTCACCTGAGCGCCTCAATTTCCCTGCCACAGCCTGCTCCCTCAAGCGCTCTGCCTGGCTACTGCAGCGTGACTCTGTCTTCCATAACTCACTCAAGGTGGGGCAGTTCCTAGAACTTGTGTCCTCTAAGGGGTGCCAGCTCCCATCCGGCTTCAGAGTGGGGACTGGCTGACTCAGGAGGATGGGAACAGGGTAGGGGGCTTATCCCCTCTAGGGGGCCCTGGCTCCCACCGGGCAGGGACTGGCTGGTCTGGGAGATGGGGAAGGGGCGCTG